AGCTGATCATGTTCAGCTCAATGAGAGGAGTCATCATAATCTTAGTAGAGGCTTTTCCTAGGAGAGAGAACCTGATCGACCCATGAGTCATTGGACTTCCTTCAAATTTGTCAGACTTTTCATGTTGAGGATTGTTCGACACTTGTTAGGATTGACTTCAATGCCCCTTGTAGTTAACATGAAGCTTAGAAACTTTCCTCCACCCATATCAAATACACCCTTCTCAATATTTAGGCACATTTACATTTTGTTAACTCAAAAAACACTTCAGCAAGATCGCCATGTGTTTAGTCACACTATTGGACTTAGCCACTATACCATCCCCATACACCTCCAAATTTTGCTCAATATGCTCTTGAAAGACTTTGTCCATCAATAGTTGATAGTTAACTCCTATGTTCTTAAGCCCAAATGGTATGACATGATAACAAAAATTAGCCTCCTCAATTATGAAGACAATTTTAAATTATTCAAGGAATACATAAGGATTTGATTATATATCTCTCATGCTTAATTATCGTCTATTTCTTATTTCTTTTATCTTTTCTCTATCAAAATAAATAAAAAACATTAATAGTTTTAAAATTATTAAATATTATTTATTATTAAATTATTGAGTATTTAAAAATTAACTAATATTTATTTTTGTAAAACTAAATTTACACTTATTATTGAATTTAATTTTTCTTATTATATAACACTTCTTATTGATGGAGCGTCATATCTACGCACTATTATTTGCATATTTTTACTTATTTATTTTGATATTAAATAATATTTTAAGTTATTTTTTTTCTTACTTTTCGATAAAATATTCATTTTAATCTTATAGTTTGTATCGTGAATATGATTATTATTTTTTCTCTTTTAGACAAAATATTTAAAGAACATAATTCATGTTAATTTAATAGATTCTTAGAACATAATTAATAGAATATTTTTTTTAAAAAAATATGATTAATAATACCAAATTTATTATAAATTTATTAAATTTCTTTTGACATGTAAAATTGATGATTACTATTATAATCTTGTCTCTTAAAACAACAAGTTTAATTTATCAACATTTTAAATGAATTATTTTATTAACATTGTGACGAATTACTAATAATAATACAGTCCCTAATTAATCTCTATGTCTGGAGTATTTTTTGGATGAATGACCTAATTAAATAAAGCTTGCTAGCACTGTCTTCTCACTTTTTAAAAAGAGTCGCACACAAATTCATATGAAGAATGAAAATGTAAGTCACTCTCTTAATTCCCCCACTAGAGCTCTGTTATATACATTGCAGTCAATAATGTTGGTGTTGGTGTTTGTGTTGTTCATTATGGAATGAGGGAATATTGTGTAAAACTATACACGTTGCAATATAAACCAACACGGACATATTTAAAACCTACTATTGCCTAAGATACTTGTCTATCCGTGCGGATACTATGGATCTGTTTTTCCACGAAATTAAATTATTTGTTTTAAGGAAAGATATTATATTTTTGAAAATTATATTTTTTTAAATAATATAATTTAGAATGTTATTTCATAAAATATAAAAGAAAATGTTTGGTTCATTTTAGTATTTTTTTATAATAATTTATTAATTTTAAAATAATTTAAATAAAATATAAATTATAAGAGTTATAGAAAATAACCTTCAATATTTCAATGAAAATATTACTTTTTTTAAAAATAAAAGATATTCAAGAATGTTATTACATAACTTTCTAACAAATAAGAAAATAAACATTCCCGCCTTTTATATTCCCTAAATTAGATAAACATAACTTAAAACAAAAGTCTTTTAAAGTTTTTGTTGTTTGTTTTTCTTTTTCCTTTTAGCTCTTGTTAAAAAAAAATTCTTCCACGATCGAAGTAACTTTTTTTAATAACATTTTTTACATGAAACTTAAATATAAAACATATCGGTTAAAGAAAAAATAATTGTGTATTATTTAAACCAACTACTCATTAATTAATAATACTACATTTCAGTAATTTTTTTTAATAAATTTAACTTTAAATCATTTAAATTTTAAAATTAATTATAATCAAACTTAAGTTTAAAAGTAAATGTATAATAAAAAGTAATATAAGTTTCTGAACATAGTATAAAAAGAAAGAATATTTTACTTTCAAATAAAAATACTTTCAAGATAAATTCAATTCAATTTAGTTTTATCCGAGCATTATTATTTTAAATGTTTTGCTCTTGGAAATATTTTCTTTTAGGATAACCACATATATATTTTTCTATTAAGCACAGTCAGAATCAAAGAAAGACAGTTTTGTCACGGATATCTTTTAATTACTAAATTGGAAATTAATCTCCCTAATTACAATATAGTATTTACTGCTGACTCAAATAATTTTTTCAAATAACGGTCAAAGACACAATCTTTCTAAAGTAAGATAGAGTTATTATAAGTGTTGTAAACTTTTTATTCAAATATTTAATATAATTATAAATCTAAAATTTAAATTTTATAATTAATTAAATTCACATTACCTCATACTATACACGTGAGCAAGACTCAACTCGATCTATTAATATGATCAACTTAAGGTTGATTTGGTTAAATTTAAACTTTTAAATTGGATACTATAAATTTAGCATAGGTTTAGGTTACATTTTTTATTGTCCCCAACCTAATTTAATATATATTATTTTCTTAAAAAATATAATTTTGTTTTAAATTATTTTACATTAATAATAAAATATTATTTAATTATATAACATTATATTATATTTATAATAAAATTATTTATCTTAAAACATATATTGTAAAATATATCTTAATTTGACGTTTGTACTTATTTTATTTTATAATTTAACTATACATGACATTAAAATTAATATAAACATAATATAATAAAGTTAGATCAACATATTTTTAATCGATATATTTTTAAGGTTTTTGTTGAATCGAGTTTAAATCTTAAAATATGAGTAACAAATTTAGGTCAAATTCAAGTACAAATAAGTTTGATTTAACCTAACTTATATCCACTTCTACTTCATACCAAATAATTAACATGTTAAATTAAATATTTTCATTTAAAAATTATTTTCAATGGAATTTGATTTTGAGAATCAAATAAAAAGTAACTTTTTAAGTAGTAACCTATTAGTTTTCAACTTAAAATAAAGTGGAAAGAGAGAGATTTTGCATAAATATAAAATAATAAGAGTTTGGAGAAGAAATTGAGATTAAAAAGTGAAAATATTAAGTTTGAAGAAGAATTGAAGATTGAGAAGTGAAAAATTAAATTTGGAGAAGAATAAATAAGGAGAAAGAAATTACAAACATATTATAAATTATTAGAAATGAAATGATGATTGTTGACATTATAGTAACATGTTGATCCATGAATGTTGTTGGGATTTAAAAATACATAGGGTGTTTACAAATTTTAACCTTTATTACATGACATAAACTAGTATTTATATAGTATAAATCATAATTAACCATAACTACCAATAACTACTCTTCCAATCCACTATTAATATTTTTTATCTTCATCCTCATCATTTATCTTCTAAAATTTTGATAATTCAAACATTCAAATTTTTATCATAACCTTATCATAATGAAATTAATTAGAAGATAATATTTTAATATTTGGTCAAAATATTACTTTTTAATAGTTGGTCAAAATAGACAATTTTTTTTACATTAATTATAACAGGAAGATATCAAAATCTAATTGTTCTATCATGTGAAATATATTTTAAACATTGTATTAGTATAATTTTATTTTATTTTTATATTTTTATTTAATTATAAATTATCATTCCAATAATTTTAAAAATCAGTATTATAAATTCAACAAATTGATTGTTGACGACTATAATGAAATGATAATATTAAAAACATTTATAATTGCACCGTCATAATATACTAATAAATTATAATAAAACAATGTTTCAGAATTCACAAATGATTTACGAAAGACGTAAAAGAAAGATTTTTGTTTTGGTAAACCGTAAAAGAAAGATACAACTATACAAGATTGGGCAAATGCGTAGAAAATATGGTAGGTGTTAGTTTGAAAGAACAGAGTGCCTAATAAGCGTAGACACTTAAAGAAATGCAAGTCGGGCATGTTCATTTACTTGTATAACTAAGCAATGTTTTCTTTTTTATTATTAAATATATTTTCATTCTTTAAGTGTTGTATAGTATAGTATGATTTTAATCTCTTGAATTTTATTTACCAATTTCAATATTTTTAACTTGTTTAAATTAAATATATAATTAATTTTAATATTAATAAATATATTAACTCCTAGATGGTGTGATTTATAGATATTAATATATAAATTAATTATTTATATATTTTCAGTATAAATTTTTTTACATTAATAATCAACATATTAGTTATTTATTTAATAAAATAAATAATTTAAAAAAACGTACGTTACATTGAGATAATTAACTGTTAATATATTTGTTGATAAAGTTGTAGAGAAGGAAACGTAACGCCCCACCCCAGACCCAGAGGCTCCAAAACAAAACCATTGGCTTGAACACTTTCCCCTGTGTGAAGCGCGCCCACAGTCCTAGAAAGAAAACCGGAAACCAGTGTCCAGTTTTGTGAGAAAAGCGGTTTCCATTGAATTCCCGAAAACCAGGAGTTTTTATAATTTAGAATTGGAAAACCGCTTTAGTCCCGAATATGTGGCGATTCGACCGCACTCTGTGACCTCCCCGTGTCTGCCACGCGCTCCATTCTTCCCTCCTCAATTTTTGTACCCACTTGCATGCACTTCTCCCTTTCTCTCTTTTCCCTTTCAGCTTTCAGCCACTGCCAGATTCCCTATAAGGTTGTGTCGTTTAAGGATTATCCCACGTCACCTACGTCCCAATGACAGAGGGATCAGTGTCCTTAATCCTTATCATTGGCACGTGAACCCACGCGCTCCCCATGAGACTGCCCTATCACTTATTAAACTCTAACACCTACCATGGTTTCTTTCTCTACTACACATACTATATAAACAATTCTTCTCAAACAACTGCCTTCCCCACAACCCACTACCTCAAAATCCACTGCCTCTCTCATCTGTCTCTCTCCACTCTCTTCAAAAATGCGGATGAGCTGCAATGGCTGTCGCGTTCTCAGAAAGGGTTGCAGCGACAATTGCAGCATCAGACCCTGTTTGCAATGGATCAAGAACCCAGAATCTCAAGCCAATGCTACTGTCTTCCTCGCCAAGTTCTATGGTCGGGCTGGTCTCATGAACCTCGTTAACGCAGGCCCCGAACATCTTCGTCCAGGTTTGCATCATTCTCAAGTTCCACATCTATTAAAAATACTATCTCATAAGACCTTATATTTAAAGCTTAGGGAGCTTTCGTGTTGTAAATTGAGTTCAGAATGGGATGGTTGATGGTTGATGGTTTTTGCTGTTTTGCAGCGATCTTTCGTTCCTTGTTATACGAGGCATGCGGTCGGATAGTCAACCCGATTTACGGTTCGGTCGGTTTGTTATGGTCTGGGAGCTGGCAGCTCTGTCAAGCCGCCGTTGAAAACGTCTTGAAAGGCGCGCCCATCACTCCGATCACCTCCGAAGCCGCGGCGAGCGGCCGGGGCCCACCGCTCAAGGCCTACGACATACGCCACGTCTCCAAAGACGAGAACTCCGCCGCCTCCAACGAGACTCAGCAACAACAGCAGCGGGTCAAGACTCGGTCAAGAGTGAAGCGACCCGCCGCCGCCGCCACCGCCAAGCCCAAATCCACCCACGAAAACAACAAGGAATCGGGTTCGGGCGAACCGGGTTTCGTGGTGACGAGCGAGTGGACCGAGGAGGCGTTGAACCGGTCCGGGAGTCACGATTCGTCGCTGAGCCATCAATCAGAGGCGGCGAATGCGGTGGAAAGCGAGAGCATGGTGTCGGTGGAGACGGCGGAGACTTCGAACCTCTTTCGCGACGAACCGGAGTCGCACCCGAAACGCGTCGACCGAAGCGAGGAGGGGGGTGAGCATGTTGGGTTGGAGCTTACGCTGGGGTTTGAACCGGCCTCACGTGCGGTTCACGTGGTTCCGGTGAAGAAGAGAAGGATTGAGTTGAAGGAGTTTAGTGGGTCGGCTCAGAGTGGCTCGTGCAAGATGGAGCTGGGGCTTGAGTACTCGGCTTGAGGGATCTTAGCTCGCCTTCTCTTGCCTCAGTTTTGACTCCATCGGCTTTCTGTGTTTGATAAACAAGAGATCATAATTCAGAACCCTTTTCTTGTTCTTTTTAATTACTTTTCTTTTTCTTTTTCTTTTTTTTTTATTTGGGTTTGTTAACCCCTTTTTTCTTCTTCTTTTTCTTCTGTCTGTTGTGAATGCGGTACTCTACAAACTCAAACGCGAATGGTAAGTAGATCAAAATTGAAAAGAGGCATTTGAAACTGAAACTCGCAATCTTTGTTCACGAATACTTTTTCGTTTTACGAACCAAGCTTTTTTTGCTCGAGATTGTGAATAATACTTGTGATATCTTGAAAAGAAAGTTTTTGAGAAGAAAAGTTTCCACAAAGTTACAAAACTAATTATTTATACCGCATAAGGTTAAGCAACAGGAACTTTTCCTTGGAGCCAATATGAAACGTTCTCTATATTGCGAAAACGTGAAGGGGGAGTACGCATTTGCATCTAGAAAAAGAAAAAGAAAAAGAAAAACTGGAAATAAATAATAATAATACTACTACATAAAAAAAATGGACATTTAATTTAGAACATGTTGATAGATGATCGGAGGTTGGTTTTGTGACAGGCGTGTACCCTAAATTAAGAAAGGAGTAGTCACAAGAGAAGCGGAGCAATGTTGTTTTAAGGGTAGAAGTAAAGCCCATATTAGAAATATAAAAATAAAAATGAAGAAGTTGGGTCATTAATTGTTGGATATTATTGGGCTTAGAAGTTATTGGGCTGGGTACTCAGAACACAGTACCGTACTACATATATACGGCATTCACGTTGGGTCCCAACCCCAAAGAAATCACGTCTATCGAGGAAAAAAGAAACCGTACAGGTAAAACAGGACAACTTCACGTTTTCTCAATCAGTTTTTTTGCTTTTGTTTCCCTGTCTTTCTTCGCAAACAATTAGGAGGAAAAGAACCAAAAGATAAGTTATATATATAATCTGAATTTCAGATCATTAGCCAAATTCATTCACACGGTCTTTACCAAAAATATTAGCTATATCTTATGAAGAGATTTATTTAATTTTCTTTCATATTTTCTTTTTTTAACCAACCACAATTCACTCATTTTATTTATAATCTGATCAAAGGTACAATGAGGAATATCAATGGCGGATCTAAGATCCTAGTTCAGTGGGACAATATTTTTCTAAAAAATAACAAATAATAATCATTAGCATTCAATATATCAAATTAGGATGCAAAATATAATATTTTTAATATATACTAATAATTTAATTAAAATAAGGAAATGTATTTGTTTACTCTCATTACGTAGGTCTGCTACTAAAAAAAATAACTAAATATATGCAAAAACAACATATGTATCAATGGTCCTTGCCAAATTATGAACTAATATATTTGCTTGCTTAGATGTAAAATTCAACTTGAAGTTCGTTATCTCTTATAACATTAATCTGTTTTCCATTCTCTATTATAAGTAAAAAAAAATTAATTTTATGTATATTAGAAAAATTAGTTATTTATATTAAATTTTATAATATTTTTCTTAGATTGTCCTTCTTATAAATGTTAAGAAAAATAATACAACTAAAATACTATATTTTAAAGGTGAGATATTCTAAGAAGAATATCATTAAATAAAATAAAAATAATTGAAATTTATTTAATTTAAACAAAAAATAATTTTTTTATCTTATAACATAGAATAGAGGCATTACATCTACTTATAATAGTTACATATTCGGATAAGTATATCATGATGTCTTTTATATTATGTACTATCCTTCTCAACATGATCAAACATATGTGATCATATAAAAACGATTTAGTAATTGCTATTTATGTATGAATATGTTGTAACAAAATAATTGTATAAATATGATGGTAGTGTAAATTATATACCAATGTGTTGTAACAATATTTGTTTTTTAATTATTCAACTGGGGTGTAAGTAGGTATAGATAATTTGTAAATTTGAACCGATTCAACGAGTTTGAATCGGATTTTATGTTTAAGTTAAATCCAATTTATTTCGATCAAAATTCAATATTATACAGGTTTAGTAACAGATTTTGTGTTTTTTTTACCCGTGATCCAACTCAATCCGATCATAGACACACTCGTGCACACACACATATATATATATAATAAATTAGTATGATCATTTGCTAAGAACAATACTATTACTCTTGTTCAATAATAGATATTGAATTTTTGAGTTGATAACATTTTAACAATAAAACATATTTATTTTAAATTTTATTTTGTATTAATCACTACAACAAAATTTGTTATTAACAATAATTATTTAATGACAATAATTTAATTGCCGCCATATATAAAAATATTAATGGCTAATATATAATAGTCACTAAAAATGTATTTACATTACACTAAAGTTTATTATTAACGACAATTATTTATTAGAAAAAACCTAATTCTCACATCGATTAGAGATAAGATAATTAAATAGTATATAAGTGAGTAATAACTATCACCTTACAGGTTCATTTTATAGGGTTGACTCCTAATTCACTATTCTAAATTGGTATCAAATCATCCATTATTACCAAATTCAATAGTATTATACAATAATTAGAGAATAACTTTCATCTTATAAATCTTACATTTCTTAAGAGACAAGATAATTAAAAAAATAAATTAAAAAATACATAAATAAAAGACAACTCTCATCTTACAAATCTCACATCGAGTAGAGATAAAAAAAAAAAAAGTTATGAATTTAGAAAAGGAAATTATAGGAATAAATTATTTAAAGTAAAGGAGACAACTGAAAAAAATAACTTTTAATAGTCTTTAAAATGGCTACTAGAATTGTCACTAAAAAAAAATAAGTTTTTCCAACAATTTAGTAGATCTTTACCAGCATTTTATATAAATGCCGATAATAGTATTAACGACACCAGATACACCAGCCTTTATTTAAATGCTGGTAAAAAAATAATGGTTATTTATATGGCCGCTAAATAATAAATTAATTGCCACAAAAAAATAATTTTAATATACTGAATGATGACTGATTGAATTGATAACAATGTAGCAAATCAAGAAGTTTAATTTGTATCATTATTTATTTTTATTAGTTGATAGCACTATATTTACAATAAAATATCAAGTTATTTATATACATTATAAAATATTTAAATTTTTATAAAAACAAATAAATTTAAACATATTGATTAATACACAAATATGATCCGACTCATATTATTAAATTTTTATTTTGATTGAATAGAGTGACAATATTCATCCTAACACAACCTGTTTACGGTCATAAATTTCAACTCATCACAGGGCAAAACAGATAACGGGCCCTCATTTAGGAAAGCATACGTTAGAAGAGTAAGGATGGGCCCAAAGATCCAAACGGGCCACTCTCTGTCGGGAAGGCCATTTTAGTTATTATTGTTAGAATAAACCATGCTAAACAACCCAAAAAAGAAAAATGATTCTTATATATATAAGTTAATATTTTAATTATACATTATTTTTGTACAAATTTTATATAATAAAGAGAGACAAAGAACGAAGGGAGAAAAGTGGGTAATAAGATAATTGATGATTCTACTATATTTATTATATTTAACATTTTTAAGTAATATTTTTTCTACTTATATTTATTAAAATATTATTATAGATTAAGTTAATAGATTATTGTAATATTTTTTATAAAAAAATTTATTATAGATAGAGTAACTTATTTTATTTTATTTTTATTTTTTTTAATCTCTTGTTTTTTATTATTATCTTTTAAAATTAGGTCTTATATCGATTAAAAGAATAGTATATAAAAAATATATTTATCTTATCTCTAATTGTTTCTTAAAATTGAAGTCTCGCATTGAATAAAAGAATAACATATAAAAATTATATATAATTATAGAGTGAAATTTAAGATAAATGAAGTTTGATATGTAATTTAAATTTGATGATGACTAACTTAAGATATTTTTTTGTTAAAACAAAAAAATTTAGAATAAAGAACTTGTAGACAATAGTCATAAAATATAAATAATGATATAATCTAGATGTCATTTTATAAAATTTACACAAACTTAATAATATTACTAAAATATTACAAAATATCACTTTGATAACATTTTAAAAATGGTGTTATTAATAAGTAAAATGTTATTAAAAGTCTTTTAACAATATAGACTTTATATTATATTTGATAAAATATTGTAAAAATATATTAACAATATTTACATGTAATTTAGTAATTTTTTTAATATCGTTAAAAATACATTTTGGTTGTAATGTTGAGAGAGGAAGAGAAAAATGAGTTATAAAAAAGTGTTATAAGTATACTATTATATGAATAATATCTCAAAGCTTATATATTACATTGCTTCTCAAATAATTAGAGGAGATTAAGGTTTGTTTCAAGGTCCTTTCTACCCGTTTGAGTTTTTTCTAACGTGCCATATTACATGTGGTCATAATTTTAACATAGGATCGTTTCTAATCTACTACTATTCTCCTCCTTTCCAAAATATGGGAACTAGCTGCTGCATTAGTTTATGTCAATTAAACATACAAATACAAGGAGAGATATTAATTTACACTATTATTATAAGTCAAATTACTTTTGTGTAACTGAATAACTTTTTATGCAAATTTTAATTTTGATATGCCATTAAAAGTTTTTAATGCCTATGGTTTTATATTTAAATTTGTATTATTAATTAGCCGATCTTCTATTAATTGAATTAGTTTTATTCTAAATATTTTTAATTTATATTTTTTATATTTCACCTACGTTAAGAAATAGTTATAAGAGTACATGTTGGAAAAGAGGCTGAGATACATAACATATTTGAGAATAACTTGGCATGTGTTTGTGTGAAATGCTGATTCAAATCTCTCTTCTTAATGTTAATTTTGAATTATTAGAGTCAGTTTAGTGATAAAATTTAACTTTTATATATTAAACATTAACAACTATATTGTATGAGAGTTGAGAATTTGTAGGGATTTTTATAATTTTTTATTTAGTTTAACTTTTATTTATCATAATTATTTATAAATTAAATATTAAGATTTTGAAATAAATTATTAATAAATAAAATTAATTTTGTTTACAATATAAATTACTTATTATAAATCTAAAATATAATTTATATATTTAAAAATATTTATTGATATAAATTTTAAATATAATTTATATATTCAAATATAGTATATATATATATATAATATATATATATATAATTTATTAATAAA